TCATTTTCAGGCACATTTTCCACATATTCATCATGCACATCGACATTTTTGAAATTTTCAGATTGCTGATTTTCAGTTTCAGCATTTACAGGTTCATTTTCAGCAATTTCAACATGTTGATTATCAAACACAGCACGTTCGGTTTCAGTTTCAGCATGCATATTTTCAAAATTATCGAGATCACTTAAACCACTCAATTGCTCCACCGCATTTGGAGCATTTTCAGATTCATCAGGTAAAGGAGCAGACAAAGAAGCAATTAAACATGGCATTTCAGATTCATTAAAGACAACATCTCGACTTATCACGACCTTAAAGCCGGGTACGCTTCTAAGCCACAATCTATAACCTTTAACACCATCAGGATATCCTAAGAAAACACATTTCATTGAGCGAGGTTCAAGTTTATCAAGTTTTGTATGACAAATCGCAGCACAACCGAAAACACGCAAGTTTGAAAAATCAATTTCCTTACCAGACCAAACAAACTCAGGACATTTACCATTCAAAGGCACGAAAGGAGACCTATTTATCAAATAAGTAGCAGTTAAAACAGCCTCACCCCAAAACTTTTTTGAAAGACCCGAACTAGACAACATACACCTCACCCTTTCAAGTAAAGTTCTATTCATTCGCTCGGCAACACCGTTTTGTTGAGGGGTGTAAGACACGGTTTTATGCCTTTGAATACCAGATTGAGCACATAATTCATCAAACAAATTATTGCAAAATTCAAGCCCATTATCAGTCCTAAGAATTTTAATCTTTTTACCGGTTTGGTTTTCAATCAAGGTTTTCCAAGTCTTAAACGTTTCGAAAACATCAGATTTATCTGTTAAGTGGCCATCCCGTTTCCACCTATCGACTCGTACGCAGCGGAAGCTCGTATCCTTGCTCTCTGACCGCAATGCAGCTTTCACGGTCCTTGCTCGGGTGCTGCTCGTACCACTGGGACTCCCGGTATGCTGTCCGAACTCCCGGGCTGGTTCTCAGCAGCTCTTTGCAGCTCCGTTTAAGCCCCACTTCAAGCCCAATTTGTACCTATTCCCCAACAATCAAAATACATAGGTTAACAACAATAAACCTAGTACAGTAAGCAACAATAAATGCTGAAAATGCAAAGTATAGAATGCTGGAAAGAAGAAATAAAAGAGAAGAAAGAAATCCCCCTTTTATCCGGCCGATTGGAGACGATGGACACGAAGTCTGGCTCAGATCGTCCTTCTTTTCCGGTACCCTCGGTAAGTCTGGCTCGGTGGTGGTCAACGGACGGCAGCCCCGGTTCCTCGACCCAATCCCCGGGCTGCACCTCACACACGACCACGCACCCGGTCTTCCGTCGCAAAGCCTCGCCTTCCCACGAACGAGCTCGCCGGAAAGCACCCCGCAAGGGCTTGAACCGGCGACGGGAAGCTAGGCGACGAAGACGGCACAACGACTATACTCCAACGGCTCTCACGACGACACTCACGGTGGCTCTCACAAGGTAGTCACAAAGAACAGATTGAGAGATAGAGATAGATCGGTTTTTCTCCTCACAGAGAGAGAGAGAGATTTTCTGTCGCGCAGCAGGTAAGAGAGAGAGGTGAGATGAGTGTA